CTGTATGTGTACTAGAAGTAGAAATAGAATTGAAACCGCAATTTTCTGAAATCCAGTATTGGTAGAACACCATTCTAATTTTGTTTTAATTTGTTTAATAATCAGCAGATAGTTCTTTAGATGCACCCCAGACGTAGGCCAAGAGTGACAATGTAGTGGGAAGAACACTTGTTTTGCCAAAGCTCTAGACCTTGGGCAAGTCACTTCACACCTCTGGGACTCTCTGTTTTCACCTGTAAGAGAAGGGATGGATTGGATCATCTTTATGGTTATATCTGCTTCTAGCACTTAGGAACCTACCAGATGGTTGGCCTGGCCCCACCAAAGAATGTGCCAGTAGTTGGTGCAGCATCACTCCCACTGCACCCTCCTGAATGCCATTACCCTCAGCCTGGGACACACTTCCCCTCCTTCCCCCCACCCCCTTGCTTGCTTTTTAAAAAAAAACTCTGCTTAAACTTTACTCAACTCAAAATTATCAGTGCCTCCCCCACCCCTGGCTTAATTAGGTGCCCCTCATCTGCACCTGACTCCTCTGACTACCCTGTTACCTTATCACACTAATTAGAGTCATTGATTTTCTTGCTGCCTCTTTTAGACTGTGAATTTACTAAGGTTGGGATTATGGTACATTTCTCTATCCCAAATGCCTACCATGGTGCCTGGCTTGTAGCATGGAGCCAGTAAGTGTTTGGTAAATGAATGTAACGATCTTGGGATGGAAACAGGTGTGATTGTGGTACTGATTTCATGTAAAGCTGTTAGAGTTTTTAAGGATGATTGGAATTTGAAAGAAGGTGAAAAATAGTGACAACAGTGGCCTAGCTAAAGGAAGGGCAGGTTCCTAAAAGGAGTGGGTCAGATTAGTGTTATTTAGCTGAATAGGGGGACCATCTGCATTAGAAGCATCTGAGGTGCTTGTGAAAATTGCAGATTTTACCTTTAACTCCTACATACCACTTCTCATTCTGAATGTGTAAATCTAGATTTACCTTTAGAGCAAGCTCCTGAAGAAGATCCTTATCCCATGGATATGGATAAGGCATGGATGGAGAGTCTTAAAATCCTGGAAGGAACTTTGGCAGTTGTAAGCAATTGAAAGCTACTGAAATGAAGTTCTTGAAGAGAAAGAATGAGGACATGATGGAAATTAGCTTTAGGAAGGCATAGCCTGGTGGTCTACTGTGAATTATGCATAAAACAAATGTACTTCACAGGGCCGGGTTTTCCAAAGCCTTGCAGTTTCAAATATTCACCTTGCAAAGGACAGGAAAATTTCCCCAGGCTATATAGTCTCTGTTGTAAGATAAAGAACTGTAACACAGCAAGGCTGCTGGCTCAAAGACAGACAGGTACTGATTGATATGTAAAGATACTGGGAAATGGCTGCCAGAAGAGAATGTTTGCTAAAATCAAGCTTTTGTTGAAAATTGCATTATAGAAGGT